CCCCACCACCCCCACCCTCCGACAATTGTTGATTGTTCTTTCTTTCTACCATGATTCAACCAAACACGGTTCAGCCACACATGTCATAGCAGGGCCGTAGCCACGAGAAGTGAAATGGTCAGGTTCCGAGCGAAGCGCGAGCACTGATGATTGGGGGTATGGGGCCGCCAGGGCCAGGTCGGGGTTACGGGGCCATTAAACTGTAATATTATTCTAAACCATTCAGCTGTAATATTATTAACATTAAGTCATTAAACTGTAATATTATTAACTAAGACCAATCAACACACTTAACATAAAACATGTACATATCGTCCCTTATATAACGTAGTGGCGAATGTGGAAAAGTGCATTTTGAGAAAAACGCATTTAAAGATTTTTTTTAAAAACAGTAATTCTTATTAGCATACCTTTTTTTTTTTTTTTATGAAATTGCCTAAATTTCTCTATGATTGTAGTACATTGCCTCCTAATACTGTGTATAAAATATATGAGCATAATAACGATTGGTTAATTAGCAATTCATCATTAAACTTATTCGTCACATTGTAAAACAATAATTAACGTATAAATTTCAGCAATTTAACATTCGTCACACATTTGCCACACATTCGACACTTTGAGAGAAAAATAATCAAACCAACTAACATTCGCCACTGGAAATTCAAGCCAGTAGGCAGGATTTTTGATGTGAAGCGTTGTGTGCGTATTGGGGGTGTGGGAGAAAAGCCCTCCGAAGCGCCGATAAATTTGCATTTTGAGTGGATTTCTTGTCGACATAAATCGAAAGGGTACTGGGTTTGATCCAGAGGTTGCTCCAGCGAGGGCCGGTTGCAGGGCCCCCCGTAGGGGAGAACTACCCCCTCCCCCGGGGAGAAAAACAATTCGTCGGGGAAAAAAATATAGGCCTATGTATTTTCTACATATTAGTAGACTCTAAAATCGATTAAATGAAACCCCCCTAAATCTCCAAATTTTTTGGGGCTTCGCCTCCTGTACCACTTTAGAAACATTTTAAGCGACGTTTGGCCACGCCCACTTTGCTCTCGTCTGGAAAATTCAGAGACACCCAGGTCTCTCTGGTAAATCATGGCGCCAAAACTGGTTTGGTCCACAGGAGCCCATTCTTCGTACAGGCAAAGATACTAGAAATAAAAGATAGAGCACTCGCATAGTAAAAATCAGGCGGAAATTGGGCCCGACGTGGGCGGCGCCCTTCATTTTATAATGCAAGTTTTCTATACTTCGGGCCCGACGTACAGGGCGCCGTTCTACACTAATGGAGGAAAACTTTATCACTAGGAGTGCGTCCGGCCTTACGATTCTGCGCTATATTGTTGTTTTATTCTTTACTGATCCATGATTAGGCCTAATTGTTTTGTGTTTTATTTGGATAATAGCAACGACTTCTACCTCCACCAAGGAGGTTATGTATTCACCGATGTCACTGTCTGGGTTTTTATTCCAGTTTTAATATGCTAATAATATATTTATAATATATAGCTAATTTTTTTGTTTAATGTCAGTGCAATATTTTACCTTTCTCTATTCTTCGGAAAACGATATAAAAGATGACCTTGTTTGTATAATGTGTTGCAATTTATTGCACAGCAACGTCCTCCAATGCCGTACGTCGCCATAGCGCATCGCGATGTACAATTTTTTAATTGAGAATTGACAAATAAATACGCGACGACTTGGTAACGAAAGTTTGGTAGAAGTTTTTTGGATCCAGCCGTACGGGGCGCCCTATTGTTCGTATTCCCACCATGCATTTTGGTGAGACACTTTTTTTTTCTCTATCTTGTGTTTCTAGTATCTTAGGTACAGGTCATTCCATTCCATTCATAGAAACAGCCTTTATGGTGAAAGCGTAGGCCTACCTGACGTTAGCCATAGTAGCCTAGGTCAATACATAACACTGGCTGTATAAAATTATTATAAGATTGAAAATGTTAATCTTATTATTGTAGCAAATATTATATCCACGTTTAAATTATTGTTTTACTTAGTTAATGTATAATTTAAAATGTATTTTTATATTTATAATATAAAATATTTTTAAAAAAGAATACTATGTTTACGTCTTAAATAAAACTATCTATTGGTTGTATTATAGACTATAACACAATATGTTTTATTTGTAAAACATTTTAAATGTGAAACAAATGATCATGTAATATATTTATTGGTCGGGTTTGAGGCATAATGATAAGGCAAATATACTGTTAGTTTAAAAATGTTTTATATAATAAAGGGAGAAATTATTATTATTTGGTGAATTTAAGTTGTCTTTGTAGAATCTCTGAAAAAAATTGAGTCAATTAGATAAGTAATTGAGGAAGAATATTAATTAGCAATCTGGCGAATGTCGCTATATCAATAGATTTGTTTACTACAAACCGGCGAATGTATCATCATTTTTCACGCACTACGCATATCTCAAGTAGGGCTTTCTTCTTAAACGGCAGTGCTTGCAAGCAAAAATAATGAGCGTATATCTTCATGAGTGGATTTCCAGTACGATTTAAATCGAAACGGTACTGAGTTTGGTCAAGTTTGGTCTACAGGAGCACATGCTTCGTACAGGTCATAGGTGAAAACATTACCTATACTATTAAATACATTATTTATAATAAGAAACTTAAACGAATCTTTTTTGCTAGTTCTAAATTACATTTTAATTTCCATAAATCATTAGGAATCATTTTAATCATTATTGTTACTGTTATTTTTATTTTTTAAATACACAGGACTTAACATGAAACGATTTGTTTCCGTATTATTTGTTATTATTACGCACTTTTCGCGGAAAGCTACATATTCTGTGCACACTCACGCATCTGAGTTTGTATATTTAAGATGTTTTTACGCTTACGCAGATAATACTTAATACAAGCTCGTAAAATATAATAATAAGTCATTATCATTATTTTAATGATAATAATTCATAATTTTCGGTACAATTCTGAGCAGCTCCGGATATTATTGTAAAAAAAAAAAAAATAAATAAATTTATTTTTTATTTTTTTTTTTTTTCACATTCGCCACTACGTTATATAGGGGACGATCAAATAGATGTTTGAACGTAAAATAATTCACAGTGAAGAATTGTTTCATGGGCTTAATTCAATGTGAAAAGTAAACTTCCAATAAAACGGCACGTGAGTTTATGTTATTCTTATTCTTATTCTTATTATTATTATTGTTTTTATTATTATTATTATTATTATTGTTTTGTTATTATTGTAATAAAAGTTAACACAAACGGTACACAAATAGGACAATGAAGGCGATATGGTTACTAAACGAGCAAAAAAAAAAATGTTTTTGATATTTTTATTCCCCGAAGGAATGTACTCGTCTTCCCCAACGGGGGGGGGGGGCTAAGCTTCCCAGACGAGAGGGGGTTATAGCTCTCTCACTCCTTCCTTCTGGTGTCACTAATGCATGTACCATTGTTTGTGGCTTCATCAGAACAACCGCATGTGAGCAGTTGGGTTGGGTAAATGCCAAAAAATGTACCTCATGTCGGACCATAACAAGAATCTTATGATCAGACCACTGGTAGTCAAACAGATCATCCGGAATCTCATGATCAATTCCCATCTGTAGAATTCAAGGGTGTTCAAAATATTATACCACCCTGACCGTATTAAATTGTATACTATATTTGATGCACATGCAGACCATTAGTATTAGCTAAAGTACATATAATGTATCATGATGGTAATGATTAAAAAAAAAAAAACCGTTTCGATCTATTATATTGTATTATTTGAAGCAAGTAGACCACAGGTATCAGTTGTAGTAGTTGTACTCTAATTACAATCTACACAGTCAGAGGTACTTCATTATTTCCAAAGTTTGGCTGTTTGGACTTTTCGGTGATCCATCAGGGTAAATAAAGTTTTTTTTCCTTATGTATTTCTCCGTCGATGTATTTTGTATTGATGATGTGGAAATAAACTTTATTTTGAAATTGAAATTGAAGTGAGCGTTTAATTTGCAGGTCATCTACACATTAAAACAAATACAAAAATAGTAAATTTGGATTTCTACAACAGTAAGGTGTAGGCCTATTACTCATATTCTCGTACATTCATTGATAATCAACATTATCGTAAGATTTCATAATTATATATGAATAAGTCTGCTATAGAACTATATAGGAAGTGAGATTTGTCATTTCTTATACTGGATTTTGTAGTTAAATGTCTATAAATCAGTGAAAAAATTGTTTTACATCTGATTATGGTTCCATTTATTCAAATGAGTTTTTTTTTTTTTTTTTTTTTTTTTTTTTTTTTTTTTTTTTTTTTTTTGCCAGACGGTACCTATTTAAATATTGATGTTCTATAAATGGTTTGTCATTGTTTTACACACTTACAGTGATCGCCTAATTGTCATCAAATTCGTCACCAATTTGTTGTTGCGTCAGGGTTGCCATTCTTTCCGTTGTCAAGGAAACACTTGCTGCGGGCAAATCTGTTCCATCACCAAACCATGTTACATAAAATGTCATGTTTGAAAATTGTTCTTCTGTTAACACTAACTGAGGCGGTTTGGTCATGACCGGTGGACCGGCTTCAAAACAGAACAATAACGCAGAAAAACTAAAGCTTTTTCCACACCTTTAAATTTTATATATAAATGTATTTGCACCCATATGGACATGATGTTGTAGTTTCATGCCCATATATGATGTTATACCATACCCACAATAGGGAATATATTTGTTTTTAATGATCGATTTAAGTGTTATAGAATTTAGATGATGCAGCAGCTGCGGTAACGACGACGAAAATATTGAATAAGAAGAATGTAATTATTATCATACAGTCATAATTGTATATATATATATATATATATATATACAAATACCACTCACCCATACAATTGGGAGTAAATAAATATGTATTACCTGCGAGATGTGTATAAGAGACAGTATATATATAAACTTGCATTGAGAGGCAGATGACTAAACGAAGACGACCACGGAAATGCAAGTGAAATAAGGATAACGGAAACACAACGTTCAACACAAAAACACAATGTTGATTGTGCAACATTGCTACTTATAAAAACAAAGAAAATGAGATTCTAGATCTAATGGGAAGAAGAAAAATAGACAGTATTGGTCTCGGAGAAACCAGACATCGCGGTGAAGAAAAAGGCAAAGACATTGTAGGAGGTTTTGTACTGATACAGCTGGACGGACGTAGGGAGAAGAAATTATGAAGCCATGATTGTAGGACGTGACTCCCGCCAAACATTCAATAAGTGAGCCTAATAAGTGAAAGACTAATGAAATGCTCACTCAGCATACAAGGAAGTACCAAATCTATCAAGCACCTCAGCAAGGCCATACAACTGAAGATAAGGAAAGCTTCTACAGGAAATTAGAGCATCATTATCACATACAAGATACAGTTATAGGGTTGAATACTGGGGATTTTAATGGCAGAATAGGAACCAGCAGAGCCTTAATTGAACATGTTTTGGGACCCTTTGGTGAATCGACTTTTATTTTATAAACAATTGAAAGATTATGAACGGTTTCGTTCAGCACCAAAGGTCACAAAGATTTACAAGGTATAGGTGGAATCAAAACTTCTCAAAGTTTGACGAGATTTTTTTTATATCGAGATATATTTTTATATCCATGTTCGCAGTAGATACACTTGACTCCGATCACAGATTACTAATTGCTGACCTGGCTGTAAATAGATTGAAGAAACTAAGATAAAGCAAAAAAAAACATGTACATTTCTAAAGTGAAGGACAATCTTCAGAAAACAGACCTAGGAACAAAGGAAAACTGCTTGTAAAGTTTGTTAAGGAAACAGCAGAAAACGTACAACAAAACGCAATAGGAGATAGGAAAGAGCACACAACACGGTGGACAGAAGAAGTCAGAAAATCAGTGAAAGAGAAGACAAATAAATTAAGAATATGGTTAGAAAGTGGAACCAAAGGAACAAGAGATGACTATGTCATGGCTAGGAGAGAAGTAGTTAAACAAAATATGATGGATTTTGGAGAATAATGGAAGAAGAGCCAAGTACTCATAAATTGCAGTATTTAATGATAATAATGATGATAATAGACACAATGCAAAATGAACGTCTGGGAATCAAAACCTACGGTCTTGAAAACTTGGACCATCGATCCAAGAAGAAAATATCAATCTATATTTCAGATTAATTGTGGGGAAAATAATGACATTCACCAACGTTTTTCACTGGACCGGTACCTGTTTCCGACCACATGCTGTTGATGCCTACTTCCATTCCGTAGCCGTGTCTCAGTTGGTTGTTTTGTGTTTATATATTGAATGCCTATAAGGCAACATATATACACAGTCGATTTTCAAACACAGTCGGTTGACAAAAACATTTGATTTTCGTCACGCTCAGTTTTCGGTATCTCAATGAGTTACAGTGAAACTTTGCTATAGCTGCCCCTGACCAAAATATGTTGTACTGTAGGCCATATTGCAAATCATTTTAATTTAATGCAAGATTTTCGTCAAACACAATCGTATCATTTTTCATTACAGAAAAATATTTAGAAACCACTAAAAATGATATGAAAGAACAATAGTGTTAATTGGTATAGAACAATATTTTATTTCTCTCCATCATTTTCCTTGGAAACCGCTTTTGTTAATTAAACTCACCATGATTTGCAATAGGGCATATAGAACAAAACTGAAAAGCATGCTTTGTAAATCATAAAACATATCAAACCATTGTTTTTTGGCATGACATACACTTTTATTGATCTTATATTTTCTTATCAAAACTTGTCGCGACGTTCACATACTAAGCGTGAGCGAGCAAAGCCAGCTCACTCTCTAGAATAAACCGAGTACAGTATTAGTATTCAAATATTTATTTATGATAATAAAGATGTATTACCTGCGCAAAAACCTGACCCACAAGCATTGAGTTTTGAAAGAGAATAGATGAAATACTCGCCACCGTTTTTTACTCTAATGTTAACAACAGATTTACTAATGTTAACAACAGATTTACATTAAGCTAAAATATTGCAATGACCAAAGTTGGAAGAACAGCAATGCAGAAAAGAACAAAAATATACAATGTACTTGAATAAATAAACGGTATATGAACTAGGGTATGGAATTGATTATTTCATTTCGAAATTTCCAGGCCTTTTTTTATGTAACTTTTATAACATTTATCAAAAATATCTTCAATTTCTCTGCTATGGGAAAAACTTGAGCAGCCCAAAAGGTATTTAAGTTTATTGTTATTACATTCATTTAGATAAGCATTATATAAAGCTTGGTTACCAATTAAGTCCAAATGAACTTGTAATTTAGTATTTTCCTCCATACGTACATTATGTAATGCTGGGCAGTCAAAGAGAAAATGACGGATGTCTTCATCCGCATTTAAATTACAAATTAAACATTTTATATTGTTATTTTCATTCCACTTAGACGTTCTGGCATTTAATGTTAGGGTATTTGACCTGAGTTTTTAGTTATGTCAAGTTTACTTAGGGTACACCATGCGGGACAACCGTAAGTAATAGATGGAAGCGCTTTTGTGCGCCACAAGATATCGCCGTAAAAAACTCTATTGAAATTATCGAAATTATTAATGATTGATTTAATATAAGCAATTAATCTATGGCCTTTTTTAATAACATTTTCAAATTGAAAGTGGTCGTTTAGTTTTCTGGATATATGTATACCAAGGTGTTTGTAAGTATTTGATTCCGAAATATAACCCTCTCCTAATTTCCATTTTTTATCTTTATCAATATTTTTCCCAATAATCAAAATTTGATTTCTCCAGGTTAAAGTTCAATTTCCACTCTTTTGCAAACTGTCCAGCAAGTTCTAACATTTTTTTCATCTCGTTTTCATTGTTGGCTAGCAACACAATGTCGTCAGCCCAAAACAGACTTCCAACCCATTCATAATTAATTCTAGTGCCAAGGCCATTTGACTTTAGAATTTTGGTAAATTCATTCATAAACATATTAAATAGTATAGGGGCATCCCTGCTTTACACCTTGTTCAACATCAAAAATATCAGTTTCAATAGAACCAAAACAAACCTTACTCTTAACAGAACAATACAACCTATAGGTAAATTAGTACCAGTATGCTATCATGGCGTTTGAATCACATGCTTGGCCGGATAACTGCTGGTTTTTGGTGCTTTGCCACGGCTGAACGAGAGTAAATCGATTGGCGCAGTTGTTTTCTATGAAAATAATATAAAATATGTCATGCATTAATAATAATATTTAATAGTAATGATGATGATAACAATGATGATGATGATGATGACGATACGATATTTCTTTTTTTATTATTTATATATACAAACGTACTTACATACATTATTTGTCTCCCAAATATACAATTTTATCGCATGTCTCCCAAAGTGGTG